CTAGCACTTCCTTCAGTCTTCTACTTTTGCCGTAACTGTTGTTTTGATTCCCCTGCAACTGGATTGCTGCCTGTCCAGTCTTGTCTTCTTTTTGATGGCCTGCCAATTCGTGGAATCTGTTCATAATGTTCGTAAAATGCCTCTCTGGTGTCTGGTGTGTCTGGAGCTGGAGTCAGTGTTTAGTTTTGTCTTTGGGGTTTATTAACCGTTGACATTTGTATAACGCACGTCGCTGCCGCTGTTTTCTGTTTGCTGTTTGCTGTTTGCTGTTTGCTGTCGCTGCCGCTGTACAGTTATCCCGTAATTTACTCGTAATTCGGCAGCCACAAAGTACGAGTACTGCGTGTGCCGTTATGGCACATTTTCATGTTTTACGAGTGCTAAACACATGTACCCGTGTGTGTGTGTGTGTGTGATTATTCCCAGGAAAGGCAATTCTTCCAGCCCAGCCCAGCCCAGTCAGTCGTCTTCGTCTTCGTCTTCCAGCGTGCTCCATTTTCTGCTGGATTACAAAACTGCGCGAGTGAGTAGCCGCAAGTGGAGATACTCGTAGAGATTTGCCGCTGCCGCTGCCGCTTTGGCCATTTGTTGTAATTGGCATTGCTGCAAATCAATCAAATCACATTGGAGCGCTGGCAATTTGTCTAATGAGTGTTGCCACAGGTAGCAGCGACAGGCAGCAGCAGCCTGAAACTGGATAGCCAGTAAGTAGGCAACTGCGAGGTGCTAATAACCATTGTAAATTGAAATGGAAATGGCATGGAAAAGTGTCCAGTAGGTACGGTACTCTAGTAGAGTATTTCCTCCACCCCATCCCCATTCGGAGTCCCAATCCCAAGTCCCCAATCGGCAGCACCTTCTGCGCCTTGCGTTGCGTCTCCCCATTTGCAATGCGATTTGATGCAAATGTTAATTTGATTGTGGCTGCTCGATGCACTGCTGCTGTTGTTGCTGCTGATTGATTGCTCTGCCGAATAGATACATAGATATGTATATAGATATATCTATAGATATTTAGAATAAATGCGCATTTCGATGAGGCCGCCGCCGCAGCGCAAAAAGGAAGCAAGTACGAGTAGGAGTCGAGTTCTTTCCTTGGACTTATCTCTGGCTGGCTCTGGCATACATTGAACCTTTCGGCTGATAAACAAACTAGATATAGATAGACAGACAGACAAAGAGTCATGGAGTTGGTGCATATTTATGAGTGGATGGATTGTATGATTGTAAATTGCAAATTCTAAGCCGCGCAAGGTAGCAACTGCAGAATATCTAGAATTTACCAGAAGGAACATAACGTTTTGTGCTCGGAACTGAATGCCATTTGAAATATTTTAATAAATTATTTCTTGTAAACGTAAACAGCAGCCACTAACCAGCCACGTCCTTGACTAGTGTTTGTGTTTGGTTTCCGATTCGAATTCGCATTCGAATTCGAATTGCATTCCACTCATTTGCATGCTGCACTGCACCAAAATCATTTATCTGTGACAGCTTCGAGGGGTTCTTTGGCCAAAAACCCGGCACCTCTGGCTTAGTCAGAGCAGAGCCCAGCCCAGGTTTTAGGTCCCTGCTTGAGGCTCACCTGAAGCACTTCCGCTGCACTCTATTAAGCACTTGTCTGCTGCCACTCGACGTGGAGAAACTTGGCAACGCCGCAAGTGAACGTCTGCCAACATGTGGATGGGGCTCTTGGGTCTCTGGGGGCTTGGAGCTTGTTGGCTTGCTTATTTTTTCGGTGCGGTCGCATCAATGACCAAGTGAGGCGCTCGCTCGCATGTGTGTGGGTCTCCAGTGCATTTTCCTAGCTGCAATTTGTCTTGTTTATTGTTGTTCGACTCGTGTTTGTCTGCAAACCACAAAAGACAACAGCGAAAACACACACACACACACACACACACGCAAAGATCAAATTGATGGCAGAAAATCAAAAAGCAAAAGCAGCAGCAGCAGCAGCAGAGCAACGACTGGGCTGAGATCGGGTCTAGTCAACGTTGTTGTCTAAGTCCAATCTAAACTAGTCGAGGCGTTTGCGGTGGCTACCACAGAGTGCATTGACGTGTTGTTTGCATGTGCCTCTGGCACCACAGCACCCTCTGCCCCCTCCTGCAGCACCAACTCTCCCCGAACAATCTTCTCAGGCAAGTTTCGTTTTCAGCTTTCTGAAGAATCGGCAGAAACTTGCAGAAAAAACAAGATTTTTTATTTGATTTTTGTCTGTCGGTCGGTCTGTCGGTTGGTCTGACGGTCGTTCGCTTCGCGAGTACATTGCACTTCACTTCCCCCAAAAGCAAAGCCAAGCTAAGACCAACTCCGACTACGACTCCGACTCCGACTCCGAGCCCGAGCCGCAGCTCCCGAGTCAATGGCTGAGCTGAGTGAGGAGGATCGGATCGGATCGGATCGGCATGGTACCCGATCTCTGCTATGCCATGCTGTGTGTGTGTGGCTGTGACTGTGACTGTGGGTACGCCTACGTGGGGAGGGGTACTGGGGGCACGTACACGTAGGAAGGTAGGTTGTTGCCTCGGAGCGGTCGTTACTTGTTGCTGTTGTTGCCGCTGTCGCTGTTGTCGTCTTGGAAAACTGGGTCAATCACTGCCTCGCTTCGTGTTTCTCTTGCATCTCTGGTGCCTCCTTTGGTCGGACTGGCTTTTTGGATGACGGCGCCAAAAGAGTGTAAGTTGGTAACTTTTTTATTGCTTTTCCATTTGCCTATTTCTTCTTGCCTGTTGCTGCTGTTGCTGCTGCTGCTGCTGCTGCTGCTGCTGCATTTGTACTTGTAATTGCTGCAGATTGCTGAAGCGCGATTTGGCCCAATTTCTTGGGCATTCTCAGCCAAAGTCGAGCCACTTCCGCTCCGGCTAACCTTTCCTTTGACCTACCCTCAGCTCAGTGTGGCTCTCTGTGACATAACATAGCTAACGGTTAAACGCACTTTGGCCGGTCACTCAAAAGTCGCAGACGGGGAAGAACGTGTTGCTGTTGTTTCTGTTTATGTTTTTGCTGCACTGTTGCCGGCTCTGAAAGGTTCTCATTCTCAGCTGTCATACAGAACGCCGGCCGGCACAGCTCGACTCCGGATCTCTGACTACAAAAAAAAAGACAAAAACTGGTTCTCTGCATGCGTCTTGTTCCGTCTACGTATACGTATTGTCTGGGCAGCAGAGTACGCTGTGCGAGTACGAGTACGAGTACGAATATGTTTATGTTTGTTCTTAGCCGACTTTTGTGTTTTGGTTTGTCTCTCATGTTTGTGTTCCGTTTGTGTCACGAGACCGCTGAAGTAAGTCATTTAATGTGTTTTAATTCCACAGAATTGGCGGCATATGAGGTCTCGCGTCAGTTAATGGAAAGGTCTGTGCGACTGAGAGATCCGCTGAAGATACTTGCGCCGAGTGGCAGTCGAGCTTTTTCGTTTGTCAAGTCGAGATTCTTAGATGGAGAAGATTACGACTGAAAGATTGGCTTTTGTTTAAACAAAAATCCACTCTGCTACTTGTGCGTTTACCATACACATAATGCTAGTTTTCCTAAACGTGCAAGAAATAATAGGAATTAACGGAAAAGCTTAAATCGATTACCTAAATCGAAGCAGTCACACTTAACGTTTAATCAAAGATAAGTTTGAATAAGTAGAATCCATTTCAAATTAAAGCGGGTACATATCCTGCACTGCAGACACTATAATTTCCCGTTATAAAGCACTGCCAGGAACTTTCAATTTCCAACTTCGAGTCTTGAGTATGCAGCGTCTTGAACGGAATCCACAGAATCGTATTTTCAATCATGATCAATCAAGTTGTTTGAATTTTTCGATCAATACCGCCAGAAAGCAGCTGTTCCTATTGTCACGATAATTTTAGCATTAATTTATCGATAGCATACCACGTTGCACAGTGCTGCCATCTGGTAAGTACGCGCAGTCAGTGCATGAACCATATAAGTCTAGATGTTCGTGTCTCGGCTAATGTAGGGAAACTGCACAGTGGCGCCGATATTTTGAATTCAGAATCTATATGTTTCGGGAACTAACCGCTTGTCAGGCTGTTTTTCATCTGATTTTTCAATGGTTTTGAATTAAATTTAGATACCGAAATATTTCCGTATAAATGCTCAAACAAGGAAAACCCTTTGCCAATTTTAAGCAAATTCAAATTTATTATTTATCAAAAATTTATTTGCCATCATTAGTTTATTTTTATTTGGGTAAAATTGTTGGATTTTCATTCATATGTAAATCTACTAAAGAACGATTTTGCACACTAATACAAAAATGTTAATAATCTGTGCCCTAAGATTATGTAAATACAATTGCGGATGATTTGAGAATGAGAAAATTGATTGATTGCCTTCGCTGCGATTCGAATAGGATTCAGATCGCTGGAGACTGTTTGATTATCTTTGGATGAGCTTAGTTCATTTCATTTCATATCATATCATATTATATATCCTTTATCGTTTATATTTATGCGTTGCCAAACTGTTTTTTTTCATCAGTCTTGAGTGCAAAATTTGTGTGGACATTTCTCGAGAGTTTTGTGTGTAAATTCGCTTTATGTTTTTATTTCCCTTCAAAATACTAGACGCTTGTCTTGGGGTTTTGCATATAAATAATCATATAATTAATATATAGAAAAATGGGTGATTGATTTTGTTTCTTTGTTGCCCTTAAATCAAATGAAACGCTGCAGAGTACGTGAACTGTGGGATGGTTGGATGGTGGGATATGGAAAGTGGCTGAAAAGTGGCTGCGAGAAATGCGATAGACGTGCCTCCGGTGTAAAGTGTAGCGTAGAGAGCCGAAAGTACAGATGAAAGATGAAAGATGAGCGAGGGTGATGGATGGGAAATGAGCGTGAATTACAGATAGAGATGGGAATAGAGTGAGAGTGAAAGTTAGATTAACACAGCGGTGAGAGAGGGTTAGGGTAGGGAGGAAGCTAGAGCTTTTGGAACATTTCCGTTTGATGTTCTAACTACGCTTGACCTTTCCTGTCTGTCTGTTTGTCTGTGTGTGTGTGTGTGTGTGTCAGTAGTAGTGGTGATTGTTTATCCATGTGTGAGTGTATCTGTGTGTCTGTTTGTCAGAGAATGCTGCAATGCTTGGCCGACAGCTGTTGCCGCATGCCGCGCAGAAACACGCGCTCCCCCTCACGCACGCACCTCATTCCTCTGGCCACACCATTAAATACAATCGCCCTCGACCTCCTCCTGGTTAACATCGGGATCGAACTCGTCGTCGGCCGTTGCCTCCTGATACTGCTGATACTCGGACACCAGATCGTTCATGTTGCTCTCCGCCTCGGTGAACTCCATCTCGTCCATGCCCTCGCCGGTGTACCAATGGAGGAACGCCTTGCGCCGGAACATGGCCGAGAACTGCTCGGAGATGCGCTTGAACAGCTCCTGGATGGCGGTGGTGTTGCCAATGAATGTCGAGGACATCTTCAGGCCCTTGGGCGGTATGTCGCACACGGCCGTCTTCACATTGTTCGGTATCCACTCGACAAAGTACGAGCTGTTCTTGTTCTGCACCGCCAGCATCTGCTCGTCCACCTCCTTCATGGACATGCGGCCACGGAAGACGGCGGCGACGGTGAGGTAGCGCCCATGCCTCGGATCGCAGGCGGCCATCATGTTCTTCGCATCGAACATCTGCTGGGTGAGCTCCGGCACGGACAGCGCCCGGTACTGCTGCGAGCCGCGCGAGGTGAGGGGCGCAAAGCCCGGCATGAAGAAGTGCAGGCGCGGGAATGGAACCATGTTGACGGCCAGCTTGCGGAGATCGGCATTCAGCTGGCCGGGGAAACGCAGGCAGGTGGTCACCCCGGACATGGTGAGCGAAACGAGATGATTGAGATCCCCGTAACTCGGATTGGACACCTTCAAAGTCCTAAAGCAAATGTCGTACAGCGCCTCGTTGTCGATGCAGTACGTCTCGTCCGTGTTCTCCACCAGCTGATGGATGGACAAAGTGGCATTGTAGGGCTCCACCACAGTGTCGGACACCTTTGGCGAGGGCACCACCGAGTACGTGTTCATTATGCGATCCGGATACTCTTCGCGTATCTTCGAAATGAGCAGCGTGCCCATGCCTGAGCCGGTTCCACCTCCCAGCGAGTGGGTTAGCTGGAAGCCCTGTGGAGCGAAGGAGAAGGAATATTTGTACATGTGTGTGCGTGTGTGGGTGTGTGGGTGTGTGGGTTGTGTTGTGTGGCACTCACCTGCAGACAGTCACAATTCTCGCACTCCTTGCGCACCACATCGAGGACATTGTCCACCAGCTCGGCACCCTCCGTGTAGTGGCCCTTGGCCCAGTTGTTGCCAGCGCCCGACTGCCCAAACACAAAGTTGTCCGGACGAAAGAGCTGTCCGTAGGGTCCCGAACGCACCGACTCCATGGTGCCCGGCTCCAGATCCAACAGAATGGCACGTGGCACATATTTGCCACCCGACGAACGCGTCACCGCTGCGTTAGAGTTGGGCATTACAAAAGGTATAAGATTGGGTGGGTCTGGTCGTACCTGACGCCTCATTGTAGTAGACGCTGATGCGCTCCAACTGCAGATCACTGTCGCCCACATAGATGCCATTGCAGTCGATGCCATGCTCCTCCGAAATAACTTCCCAGAACTGAAAGGAAAGGAAGTGGAAGATGTGATTACAACTCAATCAGACTGCCTCCCGCATCTTTCTTGTGTCCCGCTTTAGTGGCAAAGATAATTCCTTATCTGCCTCCTATCAAGAGGCGACATCCATTACGAATATTTATCAAGCTCTCTGGCTATCGCCAGATATTTTAGCACAATTCTCGCACACAAAGTGTTAGTTTTGGGATGTGCTCCTCGAGTCTCTGGAGTCGTTTATCAACTTGAATAATTGTGCCCACCCAGCCGTGTCAGAGTTCATGTTGGGCCTGACATATGGCCGCGGCCGCAGCGACCAGAGACCACAGTAGCGGGGCAAAAGCAAAGAAAAACAATTCTAAAAATGTCTGTTTTGTTGCCTCCACCGATGTGACAATGTGACAATGTGACAAACAACAAGGCGCAGCCGCAGCCCATAAACTTTGAGGTTTTTCCAAACAAATATATAGTCGTACAATTTTTTGGAAGAGTCCATATATGGGGAGGGCTCGCTCCTCTGCGGCATCAAAAGTGAGACAGATTGCCCCAAAAAACACACACAAAAAATATGGTCAAAATGGGAAAACCAAATTTATGTTTAGTTTTTCCAACCCGTCGTCAGAGTTGTGGACGCATGGGGACATGCCCTGATTTAGTGCTAAATTTAAAAGATTCTCGCACTCGCACACGTCCGGGCCAGTAAAAAATGCGTATGCCTACACGTATTCCCCTCACCCCTCTCGATGTATGGGACGTACACTTCCAAGAGTTTTGCTGCCTGCATCGCTCCTGGGGTGCAACCTTAGGCAGCGAAAAAATGCATTTAAAAATAGTTCAGCCCGTGGGACGGGATAGGATGGGATGGGATGGGACCGACGGAGAGGCCACGACTCCGGCTGCGAATGGCTCTGACTCATACACGATATATAGAGAGACAGAATCTTCTGGCAGGCCAACGACCCAACACGAGGCATAGGCCAGGGACTGGGACTGGGGCTGGGTCTCTGCATGGCGACAACATCATTAGACGGGGCCCCGCATTGAATTGCTATAAATGAAGTACATCATGGATCGAGTAGATTTATTGAGGAAATGCTCTGCAATTGTCTTGCTGCGTTTAACAGCAACCAAATTGGGGAACTGCTGCCAGAGTTAGTTACACACAAATTGGGGGATTGCTGGACTCCATTTTCGGGCTCGTCTATGGGTTGTGGGTCTCCAGTGGTGCGAGACGTGGCCTGGCCTGGCAACAGCCCACAGACGCGTGGAGAGGAAATAATAAAAATGTTAGCAATGTCTTAGATATTTCCCTTTGGCACTTGAACTTGACGGCTGAGACTTGAGTGTATAAACAAGACTGAGGACTGGCCCTGGCTCTGGCTCTTTCTTTTTGTTCTGGTTCTTTTTCTGCCCATGGCGTCTGCATTTTCGTTGTTTGTTTAAAGAGAGAAACTAGCAGCAGATGGAGAAACAGAAAAACTGAATCCCAAGCAACTGCAATCTTAGCAAGATCATCAAATTTAATTGGAGTGTGGCCGCTGCAATTACGGAGAGCTAAACCATGGCAGCCGCAACAATAAAGCTCACTGTACACAGACGGGATGGCGGGACGGACAGACACAAAGCCACAACGAATATGAAAACTAAATTAGCACACAAAACTGTTGAAGTGAAAAGTCGTTTTTCATCTGTGCCCCTCATGCCCCACCCTCTCTGGCTGTTGTCTTTCCACTCACTTCCACTTCCACTTCCACTGCTTCTTGGCCGACAATCGCTGATCGCTTTACTTTTCCTTTACATTCCACCAATTTTTCGTTTCGGATTTTTTCCTTTTGATGATAATAGTTTGATGCCCGGAAAATTGCCTTTTTTTTCGGTGAATGCAGCAGACTGCAGACTGGATCGTGAGAGACTCCACAGTAAATGTGGCATACAGTTAGATTGTAATTATAGATTTACGGATCCATAGATGTTGAGGCTGAGATTGATTCCTCTGTGGCAAAACAATTCTGTGTCCAATTGGAATTATGGTTACATTTTTTATGTTTTTTTGTATGCTTAAATCATGCATTTAAGTTGAGAGATATTTGCCCGCCTTTTCCGCAGAGTTTACCCCACGAAAGACTCTACATTTTCCTTTGTAATTAATTTTTCAAAAAGCTCTGCTGCATGGCAACTGCAGCTCCACTCCTCTGCCCTCCCCCCAGCCACGCCTGCATGCGATCATCTGGCGACGGGCAATTGAGACGCCCTCATTAAGTGTTGCATGTCTGGAAGCCGCCATGTAGTAGCCAAAGACGAAGACAAAGACGAAGACTCCTCCACCAGTGCCCCTTTTCTAGCTGTCTTGCTGGCTCTTGAAGAGGAAATCACTCGGGCATGAACTTGGAGCCAGTCTGAAGCACAATCTCTCTCTCCCGTCTGAGGATCACTGACTTTCCGGTCCGTACTGCCTGCCTCTTGCTGCAAGTTCTCTCAGCAGAAAGAAATGCGCAAAAAGAGACAGCAAAGGCAAAGTATTTGCCACCAGATATAAAACATTTGGCATCAAGAGGAATTCTTTTGATTGAGAAGCTGAGAGCTGGGGGCTGCCACCCATCCGATGGGGCATTTGTCTCTTCTCCCAGCAGCTGCTGTGGGGTGGGGTGTCAGTTTGTGGGGCGATAAGAAATCTGTTCAGCAAGCGAGTGGGTTTATTGACTTGAGTATGAACAATCAGTTGCAAGTCTCGCTCTTGTAAACTGGGGTGCATAATTAATATGCATTTGTTGTCGTTTCGTGTGCTAAAATCGGATATGGAGAACCAATCCTCAATTGGTATGCAGCCCAGCACCGATATCCTGTAATAGTATACCTCCCCGCGAGGGTGACTCACTTCCTTCTGGGCTGACTTGGGCACTTGTGAGGTTTTCCTTTCCCTGCCTGTCACATTTTTTGAGTGCTTTAATGTCCACTCAGCTGTTCTTGTGGCTGTTTTTTCATCGGACCTCGTTCGCTACTCTGCTCTGTCTTCTTGTTTTTTGGGGTCTCACATTACGAGGGGAGTTCGCTCCTCAAATTACCCAGCCAACTGCCTCGCACTGCCGAGTATATCTTATTCCGTGTCCGTGTAGTCTGTCAGCTCTCTGCTCCATAAAAACCATTACTATTGCCGAAATTCCCAGAAGCACAAAAGCACAGGCAAAATTTAGTTTTTAAATTAACGTTGCCGCCGGTTCTTTGCTGACTTTGAATCTGACTGTGATTCTGCCCCTAAATTGAGTCACAACAAACGATGATGAAGATGCTTATGATGATGATGTGTTGCCCGCTTATCTTTTATTTGCTGCTTAGCTATACTCTAATTTGCTAATAATGTTATCAGCAATACGCGCAGTGCTCCAAACGTGACACACATTGCAGCAAGTAGGTGGAACTGGAAAGTAATCAAAGCATTGACATTGATTCCACTGAAAAATCCACTCAACGGGGACCCACTTGTCAATGCCTCAAGCAAAAATGCACACAGAAAAACAAAAAAAAACACAAAACAAGAGCCAAAAAACTGGTATTGCCAAAAATCAAAGAGTTTGCGTTGCAAGCCGGTTACCTGGCTGCCTCCTTTAGCGGGTGGCAGAAGCGGGAGGCTGCCACCAGCCACCAGCCACCAGGGTTTTGGCTTTGCACACACAGCGCTCGTGTTTTGGGGCATGTCGATTGTGTGGGTTACCCTACACTCGTCCAACACTTCATTGCAAATCGGAAATTGGATATTGGATTGCATTGTTTGCTTTTATCGAGCTGCCGTTTCCCGAGAACCGCTGACAAACGATAAGTTCAGGCCTTAGCTGTGATTAGACGGCTGAAGCCTTGATGCATATTTATACACCAGCTATAATCGAATGAGCTGCCACTTAATGTGATTTCTGATTTAATTCTATAAGTATTTTATTTTCTTTCCAAACTAAACTACAGCTTTCCAGCCAATATATTTTTGAATATTTTCTGCTCTGCACTTTCCATGCTTATTTTTATTGCAGCTCTTTTTTTGTGGTTTCTTTGGCCGTGAGTTGTAGAGGAAGGAAGCTCAAGCAAAGCGAAAAGATTTCACCGCAAAGATAATTCAAAAGATTTCCCTTCGCGGCACAGGCAGTTGCAGAACTCAAGAAAGAAATCTCGAAAACGCTTCCCTGGCACTTTTCATGCTGATAATGCCATAATTCTCCTCAGTCAGTCCCTGTTCCTGCTCCAGCCCCACCCTGGCAGGAGAATTGGGTTCGCAGTGAATCACTTTTCATGATGTGCAGCCCAGCCCAACTGGTTTTTTATTTTCTTTTCTTTTTTTTGTGTGTGTTGTGTTTGGCAATCAGAAAGAGCATTGCAATGCCGCACAAAGTCAAACAATTTCTTTGCTTGATAAGTTTTTTTGTTGCACTTTGCATTTGATTCAAAGTCTGGCTTTTTGATCTGTTCTCTGGCTGGTTTTTTTGTTAATTTTCTTTCGCTTTAATTGCTGATTGCTGAGCACGCTGAAAAAGGCTGCGACGGCGCACTGGGCCCCCACCAGTGCGATCATTTTGGAAACTCATTGAAAAACGTTTTCGGTCATTGTGCATAAATTAACAATCGGATCGGCCAGAGGCAACAAAAAGCAGAGCTAAAGCAGAGAGGCAAATAAAATAAAAAATAATGAGGCTTACCTTAGCGCCAATTTGGTTGCCGCACTGGCCGGCCTGCAGATGGACGATTTCTCTCATTTTCCGACTGGCTGTAGAGGGGAGACTAATGCGAATGCGCGACTGGGTGGAGAGCCTGTGGGCCTGTGTGGAGCTGTGGCTGATTGGCAGGTCTGAAACTGCTGGAGGATGCACACACTGCTGTCTGTCCTTTTGCTCGGCTGCTGGCTGTTGGCTGTTGGCTGCTGGCTGCTCTGTTCTGTTGCACTGGTTGCTCTGGATGCTCTGGTTTGGGCAACTTTACCGCACAACTCACAAAACTCAACTGATCAACGCACGAGCACGACGACGATGACTGCCGGCCGAAGCGAAGTCAGCGACGATGATGGTTCGTTCTAGCGACTGTCGGCTGAAGCGCTGAGCGAGAGGGAAGATCACACACATACACGCGGGCGACAGCGTGACTGCGCGGCAGCAGGCTGGCAACTCACGCACGCAGCGCTGTCGCAGTCAATTCGTGCAAGCAGCGGGGTGGTTCGGACTGCAGCGCGCTCGTTCGGACTGCAGCTTTGCGCGAGTGTCTTATGGCAGCTTTAATCACACGAACAAGAGCACGAGCACGAGCACGAAGAAGGGACAAGCAGCAAGCGAGAATATTATGAGTCCCGCTATTTATAATCGATGCCAGGGAGTCCATAACTAGGGATGAGTGTCGAAAAGGGAACTGCAGATAAATGTGCATTAACCAACTTAATGGCTGCATGAGAGTCGCTGCAGTTGGAGCTTATCAGAAAGCACTCCCAAAGGCTTTCTTGTACTTTCTTAATTGTAAAGTTTCAGTTCCAAATGAATCCCCTATGCCTGGCCTGATCGGCATGCCAGGCACAGAAATAGGTAGCTCTATGTGCGTCTCTCATTGTATACTCGTATCTCCCTCTGTGTGCCTCTGTGTGTATATATTAAGATGTCCGTCTGCGACGGCACCCCGTCGACGTTTTCCTGTTCCTAAGTTCACACATTTTTATGCTGTCAACTGCAGCGACTTTCACGTTCTAATTTTATCTGGCAGTATGCACAGGTATGCAACTCCTCTTCGCTGCGTATCTTTATCTGTGTAATTGTATATGCATCGGCATACTGTTATCCGTGTCTGTGTGTGTTCATGCACTTCCACTTCCAAAGTGTCACCGCAGTCATTAGAAATGTTTCGTCTTCTTACATGTGTTCTTCCTTTCATTTCTGTGCTCTCCTAATGCACTCGGCAAAAGGAGAGATGTGTATTTATATCCCCTATCCCCAGTCGTCGTGTAGATCTTCCTCCTCTGCTGCTCCTCCACTTCTGAGATTCTCGCTGCTCGGCGGCGTCTATTTCCCATTTTTCTGTGGAAATCAATCAATGCCCCAGCAAGACAATTTGTAGTCGTTTTACTTTCTAATTGCATTCAAGTTGAAAGAGCAAGAGCACACAGCTTAAGTAGAGTGAAGAAAACTCTACGGGATAGCAGCGAGCAGGGAAAGGGAAGACTGAGGAGTGTGCAGTCCTCAAGTGCCTATTTCCAACCGAGGCAGCCAAACCGCAAAATTCGCTTTAATTTGGACTCCCCGACTTGTGCGAGTTTTGCTAAATTTAAATATGCCACAAAATAATCTCAAATTTACGAGCCTGCATACCAACAAAATGTTTGCATTCAGAGACGACAGGAGATGCGACCATCAATGAGAGTCTATGGCGACAGTGCCACAAAGGAGAAGCTTTTCCAGGTCTCTGGACCGAAGGAACTACAAATACCTATGTAAATTGCCGACAATTTTGGCTGGTCAATCGGAAGCAGGACGTGTGCACAATTTTGTTGCAACAGGCGTAGTCGGCGAGGGGTTTCAGCGGGAGGAAATGGCAAAATGGATCGCAGTTCTCATTGGGCAATGAATGGCAGGAATGCGAATTTTAAATTGAATTTGGAGAGCAAGTAGCTGGCGATTTGGTACCCAATTGTCACCAAATACCGCCCTCCCATGCCTCCTATTTGTTGTAAATCTAAAACCTAAGCAAACAAACAAATTCCAGAGAGAGCGAACTTTCCTTTCTTAGAAACTATCTCAAAGTTTTGCAACAAACACAGTGATTGCTTTTGCCAGGGTAAGCTTTAAAGCTGATTCCCATCCCCCCCCACCCCTGCAAGGTGGGGCTGCCAATGGGTAGGGCTACGCCTATGTCAACACGCACAGCCATGTATCCGTCCCTGTACTGCTGTATCCTTGTGAGCATAAAGCCCACCATTACCACTTGACTGCTTTGGCCTGCATCAATGGTACTGTGTGTGTGAACTGATGTGTTGATGTGTGTGTGGGTGTGGGTGTGGGAAAACCCTAACAAAAAGTAACAAATGTTTTTTTAGGATTTGTGTTTTGGGAATTTTTGCACTTGTGTAAATGTAAACGCAACGCACAAAAAATATACACAAACACACGCAGAGAGAGAGAGACACGAGAACAAATGTATCTATGGGAATATCCAAGCAAGGATATTTAAGCATAAACGATACGCCCACAATGTAGCTACAAGGATACATATTTATGTGTGCATCAACCATTTATTGCAATCAATTTTATGATTGCTGTTACGCATTAGCATGCTTGCATTATTTTTACATTTCTACATACATTTATGTACATGTAAGTGCCACAGTTATTAGCGTGTTAACAGAGAACGCTGCAACGCCCTCAACTACATACATAAATACACAATCATATTTCTATAGGTTTTTGATTGATTTAGCCAGCGAAAAGGGAATTTATATATTAAGCAGGCGGCACTTTTACATTATTTCATGTATACATATGTACATATTTTGCTACATATATGTAATTATCATTCTCTCATTTCTGCCATTGACAATCTCATTTTTGAAATGAAATTAATTTTGCATAATTGCTTTTTGGTTTTCCCGTTTTTCTAGCCCGTTTTTTTTTTCCTGTTGCTGTTCTGTGCGGCTGCGGCTGCGGCTGATTTTTGTATCCTTTGGCTGCATTTTAATTGAATTTGATTGATTTTTGCTGATGTTGTGGATGGAAAAATAATATTGTTGTAAAATCGTAACACCCCCTAGACTGGGTATTGGCAATGGCAAATGCTTTGTCTGTTTGCCACAAGCCTGAGGCTTAACAGTGCCACCAAACAGGTGTGTGCCAGGGGATGTTATCAATCTTTCTGCTCCTCAACCAACACGTGTGGCATGCCCCAAGGCACTTAAAGCGAACATGAAATCTCGACAGAGTCTTAAAGGGAGATTTCTGTAATATATTTTCCACTTTTCGTTCAATCTCGTTGCTGCTCCTGCCCAAGCCCTTACCTCAAATGTCAGCCAACTTTTAGCTGTAAAATTTATGCAACTAATTTTTTAGTACTCCCTCCGTCGCGACGGAAGGGACAACCACCAGATGCTGCTGGCCAATAGTTTTTGTTGCCAATTAGTTGTTTTAATTGCAAAAACGTTGCCAATTATGCAACACGAGGCGAGACAGGAGCGTTGCAACAAGCGTTGCAGCTACCAAATGACAATTTAATTGTTCAGCCCTCCAACCACCTCCCACCCACCTTCTACCACCCATTCTAACAGCTCTCCTCCACCCCGCAATCACGTATATCACGGCCATGTGGCCGCTTGCACCTTGTTGCCACGGTGGCAATTTGGGTGGAGAAATTCTCCAGCGCTTATGGACGAGGCGCAGCAATTTCAATAAATCTTGACAATGCCCTAAAAATATTAGCATAATAAAAGGCGCGACAACAGAACAGAAGGGTCAAGTCAATATTGTGGCAGCCTCCAGCAAGGGCTTTCAACGCAGTTGCCACATTTACACAGGGAGAGGCAGGCAGCAGGCAGCAGGCAGCAGGCCCCAGCAGCAGTGTCGAAATTTATGTCAGCAACAAGCTAGCAGCCCGGCGCCGCACAGATACGATACTCCAACCAAACGACCTTAATACGCATAATTTTCGATGGGAGTTGGGGCAGGCTGGAGGTGGAGGTGGAGGTGGAGGTGGAGGTGGAGCCATGCCATATAATGTGCTGCAGGCATCGATCAGCAATAAAAATTCAAATTTCGCACAGAGCGGCACAAAAATGTCACAGCAAGGCGGGACTTCCATGGAATACCCTGGACTGGGGCAGTGTGGACTGTTACGACAGATGGAAAGCTAAGGAAGAATTAGAGAAGAATTCCAAAAGCTTGGAAATTATATTTTTGCGATCATTTTGCTTGGCATACTTGTAGGAGGAAAACTCTTTCTTTTGTTGGCACCCAAAAGGGCATGCCGGAGGATCCTTTCGAGCTTGTCCTTCGTCTTTCGTGTGTTAGATAATATATTTGATTGTGCGAATGTGTGTGTGTGTGTGTGTGTGTCTGCGTTACATTGTAAGTATTGGCTTTGCTCAGCTGACTTTAGCTGCCCCCCCACTCACTCACTCTCTCTCTCTCTCGCTGTATCTCTCCCACTGCCGTTCTGTGGCGCCTTCACAATTTTTGCCAATTGGCCAACAAGTGTTGCCAAATTGCGTTGCGGTTGCTGCCCATAAATAACGGTACTTTTGTCATTTATACACATAAATTGCAGCAGACGCTGAAACGCGAAAAGAACAAAAAAAAAAAAAAGGAAAAACAACCAAGAATAGCCGAGAGCCAGAGCCAGTAAGCCGATGCTGGGAGGCCAGACCTGGCCTGTCCTGGCCCATGTCCTGCTTTGGTATTCCGTTAAACAAAAAACGAGCAACACAAAACACCGAGCAACGAGCAGCGAGCAGCGAGCACACTCTGGCCATCGCATAGGCCTCCTGCTATCCATCCAGGCGATGCCCGATGCCCGATTGCCGCTGCCCACACTAACGACATTGGCGACAGAACGCAGCTGTCGCTTGCCATTTGGCAATAATTGTTTAATATGCGGGCGCATAAAGGCGGTCGGCGAGGTGGCTTCGGCCCATAAAAAACAACAGCAGCAGCAGCTGCAGGAGAGTAAACCCTAGAGAGACAGAGACACAAAGAGAGAGAGATTGGCCCAAGCAAAGCTTAGCCCAAGGCCCACGTGTGTCCTGTGTGGTGTCCAGTGATGCAGTTACCCCATGGAACTCCCATTCCAAATGGCACTCAAAGTTGCCTCCTAAATATAAAACTAATTCCGTGACGGGGGAAAAACTTTGAGAAGCGAGAAAAGCTAATTGCGTTTGGGAATGTCCAAAAACGGAGTTCGACAAACGCCAATTTGGT